TATTTTAATTTTATTTTTTAACACTACTTCACCCGTAACTTCGACAAACCCTGTCCTTTCCTCTCCTCTCCTCACCTTCCTCCATTTTCTTTCTCATTTCTTTTTTTTTTGTCGTCAAAAACGAACAAAAAAATCTCACTCCCTGACACCTGAAAGAATAGATTGCGTCTTGGTTCGTTCGTCGGCAGGTAATGACGATTCCTGAGGATGTGATTCGTCGGTGGCCTGTATAAAATTGTTAATATAAGTATTCATGATATTTGGCTCATTTTTTGTTTTTTTTTTTTTCTTCTTCTTTTATTTATATTATTCCGATTTAACGAGTTTTACCAAAGTGTACTCGGAGTGTCATCGTGTTTTATTAAATAATAATCAAAATTTCTATTGTATCAAAAATTTGCACATTAAATTTCATACAAAAATTGGCCGAGTTTAATATTAGTGAATCCTAACACGATTCCAGGTACACCAAGTACAACCAGGTTTTTCATTCTCACGTAAAACATCGATGTTTATCTTTTTCTCTTCTCTCTCTCACACTTACTCATTCATTCACTCACTCACTCACTCTCTCTCTCTCTGTCTTTTTCTCTCTAAGAAAGGTGTTTACATAGATACAAATAGAACAATATGTATTAACAAAAATATGTATTTGCTTTACAAAATAATCAAACGCCGTTTGTCGAACTAAAGAGAAACGGCCAAATATTTTAATATAACAATTAATTAGCATTTAACGTGCATTTAACAAAGTTTCACTAAAATTCAAGTTTATGCAACAATTAGGAGAGCAACTTAATAAATCTTAGCGATACTTTTAATAATAATAATAATAATAATAATAATAATAATAATAATAGTAAATAGTAATAATATATAGTAATCGTAATACTAATAATAATAATAATAGTATTAATAATAATGGTAACGGTATTGATATGTATAACTACATGTATAAAGCTTTCTTTACAAACGATAATAAAAAAAGAAAATAATTTATATTACGATATGCGTTAATAAAATGCATTTATCTCAGTATTGAAAATACGAAGGAAGAATGACGATGATAGTCTTCGTTAGAAGTCGGTCAATCATTCATTGTTTATACTTTTTCTTTTTCTTTTTTTTTTTTTTTTTTTTTTATTAATATTTTTTTTTCTCGTTTATACTTTTTTTTTTTTTTTTTTTTTTTTTTTTCTTTTATTAATGCATCGGGCGTAGAATATTGGACGGTATCGATGAATAAATGTGCGTTTAAATCATGCATGATGCAAGTTTGTTTGCTTCTATGTTCGTAGACTAGTGTGCATTGAACACAAATTTTCTCATTTTCTCTCTCTCTCTTTCACACACACACACGCTTTCACTCTCTCTCTTTCATTCTAACAGATACATACGTACGTGTAATATATATACATAAGCGAATACTGAATCGAAGATTAATCTTGGAAAAGCAAAAATAAATAAAAAAAAAAACAAAAACACAAATTAATTGTAAGACTCTAAAAACGAGCATGCTTTTATAATTAATCTGTTAATTAATGTATGTCGAGTATAATCGTCATTAGAAAAATGTTTAATTCACGTATTATTATTATTATTATTATTATTATCATTATTATAATTATT